CTCTGATCAAAACCTGTGACAGATACATCATATTATTTTTGGATAGTATTAGGACTTTATATTTAGGAAGAAATGAAGGGTAGGTGAAATATCCTTTCTAGTATCTGGTTTTTTGTTTGCTTTTTTGATGTCCTACAATTTATCTCATTTGATAAGAGCAAGCAAAGTCACACATTTTGCAGACCAGAGAGAAAAGTGCTATTTCCATTGACAGACAAGGAAACATAAGTTCCTAGTCATGTTAGCTTATAGGTCACAGAGTTGTAGAGTGAACTCAAGTCTTCCGAAAGAGGCACATAAAAGTCAGTTCCACATATCCCTCACCAGTACGTTATTTGGGTATATCAAACCAAATTCAGAAAATAAGGAATTTCGAAGATTGGCCTAAAGGAGAATCATTCTTCTCAATGCAGTATAGTATTTGCTTATGAAAATAGATTTTCATTTCTCTAAGAACAATTTTTAATGCCTTAAAAGCATTTACTTACTTTTCTAAAATGCCAGAGAGTAATTCAGAGCCCAGAGACAGTTATCCTGTCTGCCCTTCAGTTATTTCCAATATGCTTTCTTTTATCACGAGCCTTGCTTTTTAAACATTAATGATACAAATTTCAAAAACATTATCTATTACAAAAGACTCATCATCATAACATTAATCCTTAGTAAATGTTTGAAATGTATCAATTAAAAATAGCATTGCAACATAGGAATACCATTTACATTTGACACTCTTATTAAAGAAAACAATTTTTTTCTGTGAATAATCTACATTAAAAAGACAGGCTAGAATTCACGAAATGGAGAAAAGAAATAAAAATTTTAATATGAGTGCATATATCTCATGCAACTAATGGTCACTATGAGTTACAAGTTTTATGCTGTAATTAGACAGACTTTGAACTTATATTATTTTGGTTTCAGAAAATGCACATTCAAATTTTAATTAGCAAAAAGTATTTGAACTTTTTATTTGAAGAATGTATATATTTTTTCTTTAGAATTTTAACTCTGTGATTATTTATTTTTCATTTCAAATTCATTAGAGACTATTTATCTTCCTAGATGTGGTCTTATGATGACAGTCCTCCCAATACATCATCTTTCTCTTTGCACCTGTGGTAATTACAATAACATTTTGTCAGCTAGAGTATTGGATGGCATTTCCTTATATCTAAGCATTTATCTAAAGATGTATAGCCTGGCAATATAATTTTCTGGGAGTGGGTATGGGGTAACCAGCCTTCAAATTGGCCCCCAACGATCGTTGCCTGCTGGTATTCATACCATTTTGTAGTTCGTCTCTTAGGACAATACATAGGGCTGACGTGTGTAACCAAAAGGACTTTGCAGAAATGACGGTATGTGATTTTCAAGTATAGGTCATAAGGGGCTTTGTGGCTTCTGCCATGCTCTCTCTTGGATCTGAGGGCAGTCAGTTGCCACGACATGAAGACACATCAGCATTAACCTGACAGCAAAATGAGTGCGACAACTTGCCAGTGGTTCCACTATCCAAGAAAATCTTTAGATGTCTGCAGCCCCAGTCAATGTCTTTATTGCAAACTCAAAATATACCCTAAGCCAACAACCACCCAGCTAAGCCATTCCCAAACTCCTGGCCTTCAGAAACTGATTAAGATAATAAATGTTTATTATTGTTTTGAACCACTTATTGTTTTTAAGTTTATTTATTTTTGAGAAAGAGAGAGAGAGCAGAGGAGGTGCAGTGAGAGAGAGAGAGAGAGAGAAAGAGAGAGAATCCCAAGCAGGCTGCACACTGTCAGCCCAGAGCCCAACTCAGGGCTTGAATTCACAAACCAGGAGATCATTACCTGAGACAAAATCAAGAGTCAGATATTAACCAACTCAGATGCTTAACCAAATGAGCCACCCAGGCATCTCTAAACCACTTATTTTTGAGGTAATTTATTATATAGCATAGATGACCATTATAAAATATGACAAGTGACATTGCATCTTATAAACATATTTTATTATTTTTTCATTCTGATTTTATTAAATGTATTCACTAATTTTTAGAGTTGCTCAAAAACTGGATGAAATAAAAAATGTATGATGTATTTTTTTCTTCATAATGTAAGAAATTGTTTCAAAATCAAAATGTCAACACTATGTATCCTTTAGGAAATGGATACCAGAAAATCTACTATATGACAGGCACTCACATACAGGGATGAATATGACAGTCCCTTCCTTGGATACGTTTATGTTTCTGAGTTATATAGACAAGCAAAAATATATTTATAATACAGTGTGCTAACTGCTGTTAATACAGTTGCCCATAAGGTAGTAAGGGAATGAAAGCACAGTACAGTGATTTTTTCTTAGGAAATCTGAGACTGTTTCACCAAAAAAGGGAGTAGCTCTTAAGCATGAATTCATCCCTCAAGAAAATGGAGGAATGGGTACCAACTAGTAATATTAATCAATACAGTGCTTGTGATAAAGCAGGTTTTGTTTTAAGCACTTCAAATATATTCACTTATATAATTCTCTTAACAACTTAATTACACAGGTACTATTATAGACCCACTTTATAGATGAGGAAACTGAGGCAAAGAGAGGCTGAATGATTTTTCCAATATTACACAGCTAGGAAGTTATAAGACCTAGGGAAATCCAGCACCAGAATTCACATCTTTAACCACTTTACTACAATTTCTGCACTACTGGGGGTTGGGAGGCAGGAGAATGGAATGAACGGAAGCAGGGAAGAGTGAGAATATATGTGTCCTAGGAAAAGAATGCAGGGAAGAACAATAGTAACTATGGCTGGAAAATAGATTGCATGACCTGAATTACAAGATGAAAACAAAGAGGTAGGCCAAGGACTTGAATTTCACGGCAAAGAGTTTATACTTGGGCAATAGGAAATACTTTGCCGAAGTTATGTTTTATGAAGATACCTTTGGTGCAATGTCAAAGGGAAGATACTGGGTGAGGGAGACAAGAAGAAATTGCGTTTGTCCCCTCAACAGAGAATCAAGGTCGGAAATGCGATAATGGAGACTGTGGTAACCAAGAGAAGGGAGGGAGTTCATGAGACAGGAGAGTTAGTAGTCAGCATCCAGCATAGTGATTGATCGGGTATCCAGCAGATTTAAAAGATGACTTCAGACCTCTTTTTGTGGGGAATGGATAGATGGTTAGGTCACTAATAAATACAGGAAATGGGGGAGAGGAGGCCTCACATAGAAGATGTGCCTAATAAACACTCCTTGAAAGAAGAAACGAAGTAGCAGTAATACAGAGGCTATTTTTTTTCCCTGTGAGATGAAATGCCAGTAACATAGGCATTATCCATAACTCCTAATTACAGTAATCCAAGGAAACTCTACCATAGATTGTGTGTCTTACACTTAAGTAATCTAATCTGAAAGTCTAATTATAGGTAGCTGCTCATTTTATAAAATAATTTAAAACAAATTTCTTGCAACAGTAATTTCTGTAGTGTACTTATTAAATTATTAACTTAACAAATATGAGATTTACATGTAATTCTTAAGATATATCTATTGGAACTGTATTGTATGACCATATTTGTTTCTAAAATGTAAGTGAATGATATTCTAGAAAAGGAAAGAATAGATGAAATATCACAGCTGATAGAGGCTCAAGGGAAATGAAATTACCTAGAGTGGTGTAACCAAGCTTTTCACTTAAAATTCTAGGTCATAATTTTATATTATAGGCATTTCAATTGTATATTCTTTTAAGAGCCTACATTATACAATATACCAAAATTATAGCTTATTTAAAGCAAAGGTTCACAGTTCTGAATTAATAGTGTTTTTCTTTGATTGACATCATAGGACTTATCTCTACTGATTAAATAATACTCATTTTAGGGCAGCTATCAATGGTACTGCAGGAAAAATCATCTCAAGCACACTGCCATGTAAATAAACCCAAATGATAGTTTTATGACTTTGCAATATTTATACTTAGATTTCTTTTAACATAGCCATTGCCTGGCACATATAGTAGGTTCTTGATAAATAATTGCTGAATGAGTAAAATGCCATAGTAAGAAGTAGGGGAATCCCTGACTATACAGAATGCAATTTACAGTATTTATAGTTTCTGGTTCCTACTGATTTCTATTCCCGCTGGAGAAAGAAAATGGAAAGTGGGGGTTGGGGGGTGAATGGTGCAAATATGAAAAAGCACATTAAGAGCTTAATGAAATGTTTTTGCTTGTGGTCAAAAGTGATATGCATGAGTTCATTCATCTATTTATTTAAAATTTATTGTATACCCGACTGAGTCCCTCCCTCAAGGAACTCACAGTCAATAGAGCATGTCAGATGTGGAAATAGACAAATATAATTTTTAAGTGTCAAAATACCTTGAACAAAGAGACAGAATGTATTCTAAAAGACTGAATAGACCATAATGAAAATCTGTCTTTCCTCACATGTGTTATTCCTGTTTTACTCCAAATCCATAAGAACACATGGGCACTCAAGATGTAGTATCTCATTACAAGTAATTATGAGAAAATCCTTTTAACACTCTTTATTTTCAGGAACTCAAAATAGGATGTTTTGATGGGAGGAGCAAAGAAAATGTCTGGAAAGAAAGCTTGGAGCCAGATGGTAGAGGGACTTAAAAATGCTTCACACAATTTTCCACTTGTCCAAAAGTTTTTTCCTTGGTTTGGTACTGTTTTAAATTGATAAAGTCTCATTTCCCAAACCAAATCTCCACCAAACTTTTTAATCAGTTATCTTCATAGAACTGTAATGTTTGGCTTTCGGTCAGCATTACAAATATGGAAATATATTTCATTCGAAATCACTGAACAATAGACAAAGAAGGATCAAAGGAAATGGTGACAAAGAAACTAGAAGTAGTTGACATTCAAGCACATTTGAGAGGTGCTTTATTTCTCACACTAAGACATGATGAAGAGAAACAAAGACAGTAGGGGAGAACATAATTTCTATTCATCTGAAAGCACATTTCATGACTCTTACCTGAAAAGTTTTTGTAATCCACTAGGTCAAACATAACGACAGCAACAGCTGACCATGTGATTATCAGAGCAATGACCAGAAGCCAGGCTGCTGGGGAGCTGAATGTTGTCACTATGTCTTCTGTGACTGTCCTCTTCAGAACTTTCCCAGGGGATTTGGGCACAGATCCATTTTTGCTGTCTATCACTGTGGTGGTAGTAGACGCATTTCCTAATCAAACATTCAGAAAGGAGAATTACAATTTAGAACTTTATGTCAGATGTTAATAACCAAAAACCCACACAGATTATAAATGTATATTTAAGTTGTCTGTACCATTTTCTATATAGCAAAGCATACCTCTTTAATGGCAGGGACACATCTCCTGCCCACTACCCCAGTATTTACCCTCCACTCTGAAATCCACATGCCCTTGTGATTAGCACTCTTCCACTTCCTAAGCGCTGCAAATAATACCATCGGAGCCACAAACTTTGTCATCACCTTTGATCATGTTTATTTCTCCCTTACCACCTCCTATATCCACTACCATCAAAGGCAATCTGTTTGTTTGTCAAGTTGTTTTTTAATACCTTTTCCCTTATTCAAGTTCATATGTCAGTTCTGAATATAAGCAAAAATATCTCCTCTGGGTGGTGGGGGGGAGCAAAGTCAATGATAAAGTAGCACAAATGGATAAAATCCTTTTTGGATATCCTGGCTTAATTGTATAAGTGGCTGTTCTATTGAGGCCATTCATTTTTATTTGTGAAGGGTCACAGAAGATTTAAGAGAAAATCTTGTTATATGCATTAACTTTTTTATTTCTGCTTTCAAAATCTACATGTTTATGGGAGAAAATGCAAAAAATATTTAAAAAATAGGAAAATAAATAAATAATTATTTGTGATCTCACCACTCAGAGGCAACTGTTAACATATCGTGCTGTTTACACCTACTTTTCTATACACACATGTAAATATATAAATATGCTGTATTTGATTTGAAAAGTCATCATCGCATCCTGTTTTCCACTAGGCAATATATAATAGGCATGTTCTCCTGCCATATGTATTCCATAAAATATCACTTAAGTGGCTGCATGGCATGTCATTTTGTGGATATGCATAATTAAGTCAAAAAGTTTTCTACCTTGGGACATGGCAAAAGTTTTCTTAGCACACATTCATAATTTTTATGTTCAGAAAATTTCCTAAACCTAGAATTTCTGGTACAAACAGTATTCTCACTTTTATATCTTTTGAGAATATACATATGTATTTGAAAATTTGTATGTTTGTTTTTGAAGTTTATTTATTAATTTTGAGAGAGACAGCATGAGTCAGGGAGGGGTAGAGGCAGAGGGAAAGAGAGAGAATCCCAAGCAGGCTCCACACTGACAGCACAGAGCCCGATGAGTGGCTCAAACCCATGAAGCCATGGGATCATGACCTGAACTGAAACCAAGAGTCAAATGCTTAACCGACTAAGCTATCCAGGCACCCCAGAAAATTAGTATATTTTTGAAAATGTACATACCAGCAGTCTCTGTTTTCTTATCTTTGACAATACTGGGTATTGTCAAATAGAAATAGATTAAAACTATTTTCAATCACGTAGGAGGAAAGTTCTGCTTCATTTGTAGTTCTTTGATTACTAGCAATAAGCTTTTTATATATTTATTTTCCCTTTATATTTTTTATCTTTTGAAATTTTTTGCTCACTTTTCCATAAACCTCCATTGAGTGTTTTAAAGAACTGTATACACATTACATGTACACAGTCATATGTATGCATATATTTTTATACAAGTATACATGTATATACAGATATCTTTGTGTACGCATGTATATGTATTTATACATATTATATATATGTATATGTGCACATACAGATATCCATATGTGTGCATGTGTATGTATCTATACATATTTATACATTTATACTCCTTGCAAGAGGGTATACATGTATGCATATATACAAACACATACATATGATAAAATACTTTATCTGATCTTAGGTTGCAGTTTGTTACCCTCAACTGTCCACCCTTTCTTTTTGTGGTACAATATTTTTAAATGTTTATTTATTATTTTTAAGAGAGGTAGTATAAATAGGAGAGGGGTTAGAGAGAGGGAGAGAGAGAATCCCAAGCAGGTTCCATGCTGTCAGAGCAGAGCCTGACTCAGGGCTGGATTTCAGGAACCGCAAGATCATCACCTGAAGCCAAAATTCAAGAGTTGGATGCTTGACCCACTGAGCCACTCAGGTGCCCCTGTGGTATTTTAATGTACAGAGTAAACACTGAAAAATTTTGTAACTGTTTCATGTTACTCCTGCAAAGTTGCTGCCTTTGTATGGCTAGAAAGCACCCCCTCAATGGAGAGTAAGCATATCTGTTTACATTGACAACCTGGACTCATAGAAAGTTAACTCTAGGGGTATCTTGAAATCTGAAGCAACTATATCATATTACATTTAATAACAATTCAAAATCAACCAGAAAATTCAAGTGACTCTCAAATAGCATTTTCAATTCCAAATCATACAGATATGTAGTAAATAATTGAATACAAAAGAGAAAAAAAAAATCTCTAACAATCCCAATGTTTTTGCCAAAATCACAGCTCAACACCGTATTTCATATATTTTAAATATGGGCCATAATACCTATCATAATTTAACAGTTAAATATAAAAAAGGAAATGTTATTAATCATCTCCTAATATATACAATTAACTATTACCAATTTTAGTTTTTACCTCAAAATTGCATTCTCAAACTAAAAAAGCAAACTCCAAATTTGGACACTTCCTTGCCACTTTTCACAAAATAAATTTCATGTAACTGGTGTTACTTCTAGAATGTGCTAAATAATAGCTGGAAAGTTTTCAAATTTTAAAACTGAAGGGAATTCTTAGTACTCCTAGGTCTCCAAGTGGAATTAAAGTGCTCCCTTCAATCTTCCAACCTCTTTCACTACCTTTCACAATCCTTCCTTTCAGTTAGGTCCAGATTTTTCATGGAAACAGTAAAGAAAAACAGCTCTGCCACAGGTTTCATAGACAATAGAGATTAGGATTAACTTCCTGGCTAGAATGTCCCTACTGTGCTGCCTTACCTCTGAGTTAGAAATATCTATCTCTAAGGAATGAGGTTAGTAATGCCGATTTACAGGTTTATGATGGTGGAAAAATAACTCATATAAATTGCTTGGCAAATTTCCTGCTACATCGAATTATTCAATAAATGGCAGTACAATAACTACTAAACTATATCTTCATTATTATCAACATCACCATCGCCGTTACTTCTACTGCCACCTCCACTGCTGGTACAACCCTTACCATCGTGGTGAGAAAAGACCAGAAGGGCAAGAGCAACCTTAGAAACTACAGTTGAGGCTGAAAAACTAAGTTTTCAATAAATGCAGGCATTTGTTTTCTTTAATAAGCATATATGTTAGGCTAGACCAAACCAAAATGGAATGCTATAATTGCTTCAATGACATTCTTTCCTTTTTTTAAGGTTTTTAAAAAATATTTATTTATTTTGAGAGAGAGAGCACAAGCGAGGAAGGGCAGAGAGGGAGGGAGAGAGAATACCAAGCAGGCTCCACGCTGTTAGTGCAGAGTCTAACACACCTTGAGATCATGACTTGAGCCAGAATCAAGAGTTGGATGCTTAACTTACTGAGCCACCAAGCTACCCCTTAAAGGTTTTATTTTTAAGTAACATTTCCACCCAATGTGAGGCTTCAACTCACAGCACCGAGAACAAGACTTGCACACTCTACTGAGCCAGCCAGGCACCCCATGACTCTTTCCACGACTTTCTTGAATCAGCTAATTTACTTCTTGTGATACAGAAGTGGGACACAAACTGTAATTCATTCATATTAACAGAGAGTGTTTTGCCCCATTAACAAATTAAGAGAGAATTATATATGAAAAATAAAGTTATTTTGTTACAATACAAATGTTTGCAGCCTAATGGAACTCATTAACCAGAAAAACAAATTTTGAAACTTCTAACAGCTGTGTACATGGGGTGCTTAGAGTTTGAATCCAGTTCATATGACAATTTTTAGTTATTGGGGAAGAAATGAAAATAGTGCAATAAATTAAATACTCTAGTTAACAAAGTGTTAAATTTTTCTTTACCAATAAATTGCAGTATCCTTCTCTTGATAAAAAATAAGTGCCATAAAATTCTATCACTGACTAGGGAAAAGAAAATCAAATACATCCAAGTGTATATATTAGTAGGTATTAATAATAACCGAACATAACTAATACAATAATTTTTAGGTGACAATAGTAAATCTAACCCCTTATTTTTAAGAGATTAAAAAGCTGTTGAGGAGATCAGCAGTAGATGATTTAATTAAGATTTTGAAATGATTTTAAGTCGCAATTAACAACAGTGACAATGAATCTCCTTTCTTTCCTGAAAAACTGTGTGAATACATATCCCAAGGTCATGAACTCAATTTAGTTGAAATAATAGCAAGATGGAAACATATCTTTAAAAAACAGATTTCACAGACTGTACTTGAGATGGCTCTCAAAGAAGGAAAAATTAGAACGAACTCATATCATATCCTTTCATTGATTTTTGTGCCAAATTCCCATCACTTCTAATGGCAGTTCTGAAAATGGATGAATGATAGGAGTGCTTCGAAATGCAATTTAAGATCCAAGTGGGGCTACAAGTGAGTCAAACCTTTGGAATAATGATTTGCAGGAGAGTAAGTGAATTACAAGTGCTTAGGAGAGGCCACCTGAAAGTTGATATGTTGCTAATCTCCAGTTTTTTAACCTTTGGAAGATGTCCTACTACCACTATACAGAGCACACCGGAAGAATTGCTTTTGCACTTCAGATTCACTTCAGTGAACTGTGGATTAGAGAGTATTTCTGTAGACAATATCATACACACCTGCCTGGTATCTTGAAGCTGAAGGAACAAATTTACCAGGATTTAGTACAAATTAGTCGAATCATGATCATATTTTTAAAAGACAAAAAGTTTTTAAAGGGACAAAAATTTCTATATATTTTTTCTTTTTTTATCACAAAAATGAGAAACTGTATAAATTCAGAAAGCAATGCAAGTTCAGTGTTCAAATGTGACTTTTAATATTTAAAATAACTGATATTATAATGAATCTCAAATTTTATTTCACCTTATAATCCTGCCAAACCATTAAAATACAACATTTTAAATGG